AAATTTTTTGCTTATGTCCGCCTTATCCTATTCCCGGAACCCACCTGGAATTTTTTTTTCTTGCCTATTGTCTGGACTTAAGTTCCTCCGCTCTGCTCCGGAAATTATTAACCTCTTGTAATATTTCTTCATTAATAGTTGCACGATTAGATTGAATAAAAGTACGTCCTATATTACCATGAACCATTTCTTCTGTACTGTTATTTTTAATATGTATTTTAATTCGGTCAAGGTGACTTGAAGAAACTCCAGTTAATACTATATAAGTAGGTAAACATTGAGCATCATAACGATATTGATAAGTAATACAATTATGCGATTCTTGACTGGATTTTTTTTTTTTTTTTTTTGGCGATTTACTGAATGCAAATGATGTAAGTTGCTCTTTAATCCAGTTATCTAAACTATCATGCAACATATTATAACACACTTCTTGTCTTTTAAAAAATTTACAGAATCCTATCTTTTCATACCAAGTTTTATTATCTTTATTTCGACATGTGCACTCTTTTTGTTGCCAAAATTCCTACAATTCCTGAACATTTTGACGAATAATACCATCAATTTCATCATATTCATCCATTCCTAATTCAACAAATGGAGGCGCAATGTTGTATATATCTTCTTGTTCTATGTCATTAATAACTTCCATTACGGATTTTTGAAATTAATTAAAAAAAAAAGAACAAGCAAATTATATATAATTTTAAAATTTTACTAAAAAAACGCACTTATGGTGTTTTATGCATTATCTCAAAAACTGGCTAATTAATCAATACGAGGTGTTCTAAGTAAAAATGTTCTACGCCCCTGAAAACCCTTCCCAAACCCTAATATTAACTTAAAAACTAACCATAATATGAAAAAATATAATAAAAACATATAATAGGTGCAAAACACTATAGGTGCGTTTTATAATAATTGTAATTTTATTAACATATTTTAATACACACTTAGTCAACAATATAGTTTATACGTAACGATAATTTTATTAGTACGTATTCAAGTTATATTTTAATTCATTACGATAATTTTACTATACGCAGTATTCATGTGATATGCAGGTTTCTAATTTTAGCTGAATTATCAATTTAAGGAATTGTTCATATAATAGGTGTAACACAACGTGATTGATTAGTAACGCGACTATTGATTTTTGTAATTAATTATATAAAGAAGCGTAATTTTGTGTTTTTCATTTTTTATTTACTTTTTTTTTTATTTTTTTTTCTCCTACTTAAAGATTACTGTTTCCGTATGAGGATTCAGTTCTTTAAGTAGTTAGCTCGACGAGATGAAGTCGTCTGTACGGCAGCAGAAAAATGTGTTACGCAGATGTACACTTCATCTATGCGGCGTTTTTTAAAATTTTTTTTTTTTTTTTAAGTCGGAACACCCTTATAGAGTCGAAATACCCTCATAGAGTTGAAACACCCTTCTAGAGTTGAAACACCTTTATAGAGTCGAAACACCCTTGTAGAGTTGAACACCCTTATAGAGTCGGAACACCCTTATAGAGTCGAAACATCTGAATAAAGTCGAAACACCCTTCTAGAGTTGAAACACCCTTATAGAGTCGAAACACCCCCCCAACCGTATGAGACACACCTTTACGTGGTGGTTGGGATAAGTAAGAGATTTAATCTCTGAAACTAAGTTGTCTCAAATATTTTGTTTATTTGTTTATTATTATAATAACTAACGTTCTCACAAAATACTATTCTTAGTAGATCGTCGGTATTGTTCCTGAAAAGATAGAAAAAAATCGATTTACATTTCTTTTCTGTTAGGGTTCTAAAATATCGAAGTAATAAAGCCATGATGAAAAATTTGGAACCGCCAATCCAATATAAGATCAATATTCAAAAAAAAGCAATATCTTGGAAATACCGGTACTAGTGTATAATGATGAAAGTTTTTAGCACAAAAAAATTAGATATATCTTTACTTACTGCATTTATTATGGTAGGAATCAATGTTAAGAAATTATAAGTTTTACACGTTATGGATCAATCACGATATAATTAAATATATTAAGGGAAATTAGCTTCGAGTCTTAGTAAATCGATTTTTTTTTTTTTTTTTTTTCTATCCTATCAGGAATGGTATTTTTGTATCGTTTTTTGTATGTTAAACTCAAAGATATTTATTTCATTAAATAGTACCTAATGTTATACCGACAAAAGTTAAAAATAAGAATAAATTTTGATAGCAATTGTAATTTAATTAAAAATTCTAAAGTTATTCTTTTAATAGTGAAAGTTATTAATAAAGAATTAATAAATGGGACATGAATTACAACTATAAAAATGGTTATAAAAAATGCATTGCTACTTGGTAATAAATAATAAAAAAAGATTATATCGGCTATCGGTATATGAGGTAGAATATACATAAATAATGAGTGCTTGCTGGAATATTATCAACGATACCAATAAAAAAACTTTGAAATTATAAAATTAATGTTCATGTAAAATTATAATTAATGTTGTCAAATAACCCAAAGAATATATTTTGTATAAGAATAACTGATAACGTTGCTACGTATCCTCGGATGTGTATTTTCTTTTACGTTACACCTGATCTTAAAATTCGATTGGATAGTAAAATAGATCAAATTTTTTTTTTTTTTTTGGGTTGGTTACCCAAAAAGTTTATAAATATTTTTGAATGAAACTGCGGGTAAAAAAGTAGACTTTTTATTATTAAAACGAAAGTTTAGTAGTTTTAAAAAAAAAAAATGTCTAAGCAGGTAAAGTTTTATAATTGACATATTTTAGATTGTTTAGGATAACCATTCTTATAATTTTATATAATAAATTATAGGAATTTGCTGGATCACGGTTTTTTAGAGGTGGATCAGATACTGAATCGGAAGATGAAATTATTTCTTCAGGTGAAGAATTAACTGACGAAGAAGAAGAAGAAATTAGTGAAGAATCTTCGTCCGAAGATGAAGAGAAAAAAAAGCAATCAAAATTTCTTAGAGATCATGCTTCTAATGAAGAAGATTCTTCAGCGGATGAGAAGAGGCAAGTTAGATCTGCAAAAGATAAAAGGCTAGAAGCAATTGAAAGTTGTATAAAAGTTATAGAGAATGCACAAAAAATTAATGACTGGGTAGTGATTCAAAATGGTATGTTTTTATTGAATTGAATTGATTTTTTGAGTACAATATTGAAGAAACAAAATATTTTAATGTATATTTATTTTTTAAAAGAATTTGATAAATTAAACAAAATAATAAGCAAAGGGCCACAAGCAATACCGCGTTTATATATCAAAACGATCGCATTACTTGAAGACTTTTTAAATGAAGCTTTAAAGAAAGAAAAAGATTCAAAGAAAAAAATGAATGCAACACAAGCAAGAGCCTTAAATTCTATGAAACAAAAAATCAAAAAGAATAATCGATTATATGAAGAAGATATTGAAAAATGGCGACAGGTTGAGTTCAAAGACATGATATTACTAAAAATTGATAAAATGTCATAATTATTTATAATTTATTTTTTATAATTTATTTTTAAAATACAGAATCCTAACGATGAGACTGATGAAGATATTGAAGATGAAGTTGTATCCAAATCTAAAGGAATTAAACCATCTTTTGATGAAGATTCACAATCAGACGTGTCACCCACTTTAGATGATGAATTTATTACTGTAGGAGGGGGAAAGGGTATTAAACCTATAGAAGAATATACGTCTGAAAATTTGTTTAAAAAATTGAGAGAAATAATGGAAGCGAGGGGAAAAAAGGTGAATTATAAAGTCATTTTTCATTTAATGAATAATCGTCGTTGACATTATAAAAACAAATAA